GACAATTCTCGCATTTGCTTATATAATTTTCGACATCTCTTGTGATGCCTCGCCAGTTGTGCGTTAATCGTATTCTATTTAGTGTGCGTGTCACACCTTGATGTCCTCCTGTCGGTGAGTCGTGATATTCATATAATATTCGATGTTTCTCTTCTTCTGTATATTCGCGCATTGTCTTCTCCTTGTCTTCTTCATTCTCTTCGTCTTTCTTAATGTTGCATATAGGATTTCTACTTAAAGCGTCGGCGTTTGTATTTCTTTTACCGGCCTTGTGTATTATCTCGTAGTCGTACTCTTCTAATTTTAATCTCCACCGGATGAGTCTCGATCCGGGATCGTTAACGTTAAATAACCATATTAATGGTTTATGGTCATTAACAATTTTAAATTTGGTTCCGTATAAATAAGGGCGAAAATGTTTTACTGACCAAACAATTGCAAGTAATTCTTTTTCAGTAGTATTATAATTTTGCTCCGCTCGCGATAGTACGCGGCTGGCGTACGCTATAGGCCGGTCCTGATCTACTGTACCATGAGACAGAACGGCGCCGACGGCGTAATCTGACGCGTCGGTCGTGACGATGAACTCTTTCGTGAAGTCCGGATAAATTAGTACAGGTGCGGATATTAATTTATTTATTAAAGACTCGAACGCTGCTTGCTGTTCGGTGGTCCACACGAATTTTGCGTCCTTTTTCGTTAACTTTGTTAGAGGCTTAGCGATTTTAGAAAAATCTTCTATAAATTTTCGGTAGTATCCGGCTAATCCGATAAACGATTGAATATCTTTTACCTTTTTTGGTACTGGAAATGTACTCACGGCTTTTAATTTATTCGGATCCGGCAAAATTCCGTTTTCTGTTATGATGTGTCCTAAATAGACTACTTCTTTTCGCAAAAATTCACATTTGTCAGGTTGTAATTTTAAATTATTTTTCCGTAATCTTTTAAATACGTCGATTAATCGTCTGTTATGTTCTTCTAAGCTTGGTCCGTAAATGACGATGTCATCTGAATATACTAAGCATTTTAGTCCTTGCATGCTCATTAATATCGTATTCATTAATCGTTGCAATGTCGCGGGCGCATTTTTTAATCCAAACGTCATGCGATTAAATTCATAATGGCCGTAGGCTGCAGAAAAAGCAGTTTTATATTTATCATGCTCGGCCATAGGTATTTGGTGATATTCTGAGGCGAGATCTAAAGTTGTAAAATATTTCGCGTTCCCCAGCTGATCTAGTATATCAGTTATATTCGGAAGGGAAAACGAGTCTCCTATAGTGAGATCGTTTAATTTTCTAAATTCTATTACGATCCGTAATTTTGGTTTTCCGTTAAGGTCGGCCTTTTTCGGTACGACTAAGAGTGGTGTATTCCATTGGCTACTACTCGGTCGTATAATTTCATGTTTTAGCATTTCTTGAATTTGCTTATTTACTTCGCTTCGGTGTCTCTCGGGGAGACGATACGGACGCACGTTCACGCTCGCGGTGTCGGTTCGCGTTGTTATCTCGTGTGCTATCCTTGTCGTATGAGTCAGTGGTTCTCCGTCTAGGTGGACCACGTCGTTGAAATCTTCGCATATCCGTAATATCGTTTTTCTTTCTTCTTGGTTTAAATGAGTAACCCTTAGTAGGCTCTTGATTTTTTCTTCACGCGGTAGTTCGATTTTATCGTTGCTTGTCGCGTGGTTAATGTTTTGTTCGTTAATAAAATCTTTTGTTAAATCTTCAATTTTTACATATGGTGTTTGTTACGTCCGGCGCTCATTTTTCGGCTCAATTTTCGTTCCTGAGACTTCTATCTCTTTCCCACCTACTGTTATCGCGCCGTACGTTTTCGCGAGTACCTGCATTAACTTTAAGTAGCGCCGCACTTACGCGAGGGCACCACCTCCCGGGCGCCTCACGCCGATTAACAAATTACTGATAAGTCCTGGTTAATTAACACCACGATACAATTTAGAGCACAATGATGCCGACCAGCGCCTCCTGGGCAAAGCTATACCGCGCTATCATACTTAAATCGGCCTTTCCTGCCGAAATCATTAATTGATAGGCTAGCGTGACGAGAATACGAATTTACTGCGCATCGCGCGATACTCGCTGATCCGCGTTGACACATAGGGCGAAAACCTATGTTGAAAAACTAAAAGACGGTATGCGGCCTTATCATAACGCCTCCACGCTTGTTAACGAAAAACCGACTCGGTACAATGATTTCGATAAATATGAACTAAAAGCGTACTAAGTATCGAAGCGCTGCGCTCATCCAGTAAAGAGATATTAAATATTCACAAAAGTGATTTATGACCCATTTTTGGGGGAAATTCGGCGTTTCCACACGCCGCGGCCACCAAGCTGGTCCTATATAATCGA